CGCCTTCCCCTTGTACCCAGCCTCAGGGACCTCGCTCCCTCCTCTCTCAGAGGTGGAAGTGGTTTTCGTCCCCGGCTGAGACAAGGTTGGGTGGGGTCCGGTATCCTCTGGGAAGGTGAGGCGGCTATGCACACTCACCTCCCTCGAACCCAAGCGTTCGTGAATGCTTCGGCGGGCGAATTCCGGGTCCTTGGAGGGCCCCATAGAATTCTGAGCTTCAGAGTGGTCAGAGGGTTGAGGGTTCCTCCTCCTCTCCTTACTGGAGTTTCGGGTGTCCCCTCGCCACCTCTGGCCGAGCTGTCTATGTGGTGGAACTTGTCCACCATCATCCTGACCGATCCTCCTTTTCAGGTTTCTCGGCTGGTGATCATCAGGCATCTGGATTGGAGCCCCTTGAGCTTTAAGGAACTCCATGCAGATGGCCACTGCTCTGGCCACTTCCTCGGTGGAGGGTCCGGAGGGAGGAGTCTCCTGCGGATGTGACCTGGATTGCACGCTATGGCGCGGCGGGGAGTTCCTCGCACCTGAGCCACTCGGTCTCGGGGATGGCCCCGGCTGCCGAGTGTGGTGCGAGGTGTTCTCCTCCTGGAGGCTAGGACCTCTTGAGGCTTCCCTTTCCGGAGAAATGGGGGCCTCCGATTCGGAAGAGGCTTGCTCCGGGGAGGGATAAACCGGCTGGCGTTCCCTCACCGTAATCCGGCCTCCTCCCTTCTTAGCCTTCTTGGAACTCTTTCCACTCTTAGTCATGGCGACTGCCGGAGTGTTTGATGACTGACGCGAAATTTAGTAGCGTTCCCCACAGACGGCGCCAAATTGTTTCGGATGAAAACAATCGAATCTCGGAAGATCCTTTTATCTTGAGGGAACTTGGTCTCGGTCCGAACGACGCAGGTGCCGAGGGTTTCCTGCACGACAAATACACGTAAACTAGCCTCGGGGGGACGCCGAGGAAGGCCCCTCCGATGCTTAAGTCAGTATATTAGAGAGAGAAAGCTGTGCAAGAGTTTAGTTGCTTGAGGCTTTATTGTCTTTGTCTTTTTTGTCTTACTCTTCTTACCAAGAATTGACCAAATTGTTGGCTTTTATACCTTGGCTAATGAAGGAGGCGGATTGGGCCCGGAAATCAGTTGGGCTGGGCCAAGCTGATTGGGCCGTTGACTGACCTTGACATGGCTTTGAGGATGTTGATTTTTGACTTTAGCATATTTGGAGAGTTGAACCTTTGCCTTGGGCTTTTAATTGGATCATTCAGTGACCAGGCCCAATTGGACTAAATTGGACCCAAACAGGATCTATTCCATGGGGAAAATTCTAATTCCTTGTGGAAGTTGATTTGGAGTGTTGGAGGTCCTCCTAAACTCAACCATTTTTTATGGAGTGCGTGTAAGGGGTTGTTGGCAGTAATGGGAGTGCTTCATAGGCACCACATAAGTGCTTCTTCTCGCTGCTCTATATGTGGATGTGATGATGAGTCCATCATGCATTCACTATTTAGTTGTACTTATGCAGTGGCGATATGGGAGAGGAGTGGCTTTGGTGATTCATTAAATACTGCTCCTACAACCTCTTTTGATGCTAGGCTTCTATGGATGGCTGTGATGGTTAGCAAAGAACGCCTGAGTGTTTTTGCTTCTCTGGCTTGGGCTATATGGCATTGTAGAAATAGCCCCATTTTCAAGGGTGGAACTAGTGTTGATGCTGTGCGTATTGGCACTGGGTTTGTGAAGATTTTCTACGACTATTGTGCTTATAATGTTAAAGTTTGCAAGCCAAGTGGGGGTCTTCTCCTGCTTTGAGAGGATCTTGGTAGCCCCCGTTGAGTGGAAGGGTGAAAATTAATGTAGATGCTCATGTGATGCAGTGCAGGGGATAAAATTTGGAGCAGTGATTAGAGGGTCAAGAGGGCATCTGTTACCAGCTGCTATGAAGCACATTGATGTTCACTAGAGTCCGGTTATATATGGTAGAGGCTGGTGCTGCGCGCTTTGGGGTGGAGCTTGGATATAGGCTTGGCTATGATGAAGTGGTCCTCTGAGTGTGATGCTTTGCAAGTAACTCGTGCTATTCAGTCTAGGCAAAAGGGGCATGCTCCTATTTTTCTTCTTTATGAGGATATCTCTACTGTTAGTAATTTGTTTAATTTTTTTCCAATGTAAGCATGTGAAAAGGAGTGGTAATTCATTAGCTCACTTGGTTGCTCGATGGGTTGTGAATGCAAACTCGGAACTTATTTGTACGAACTCTTTTCCCCAAAGCCTTCATACTTTGGCAGAAATTGATTTAATATAATTATGCTTTCTTGGCTTCACAAAAATATATATATATATATATATATATATATATATATATATAAGTAATATTTAAATAGAACATGTGAATTAAATTAAAATTCATCATTGATTTCAGAGCAATTAGTTTGATAACAATGAACTTAACCATATTTAAAAAGAACATCGCTCCTCAACCTTTGTCAGATTGATCTCAAATTTAATATACAGATTCATCAAATATCAAAATTGAAAATAAACATTAAATCTCAAATTTAATATATAGATTCATCAAATATCAAAATTGATAATAAACCATGCATTGGATGATTATATAAAAGTATAAGAACATACTATTCAAGTAAAAAGAACATACTTCGTATTGTTAAAATCCAAGGAACATTTTTAATCTACATACATTAATGAACATATTTTGTTATGTAAAAAAGAACATATAGTTCAGACTCAATAAACATATATTGATCAGACTAGAAAGTATATATTTCATTCTATTTAATTTTAAAAGAACATTCATCATAATATGAAGAACATCATCCTTCAACCTTAGAAATAACACGAATTCAAGAAAAAAAATGTAGAAACTAAAATTAATTGAAAATTATATACTTTCAATAACGAATTTGTTAACAATAATAATAATAAAAAATATAATAATATAAAAAATCATCATTTTCATCAATAACACCAAAATTATGAAATTTAAAATAAAAAATTCTAAAAACTACCTTCTTATTTGGTCATGAACTCCTTAATTCAACCTTCATTTTCAAAAGTATCATTCTAATAAGCATTATTATGAGATCTTCGATCATAATCGTGATGAAATTCACCACGCACCGTCAATTCTCTCTCTAAACGAATTCTCTCTATATTTCACAAATTAAATTATCGAGAATTATGGAGATTAATATTTTGAAAGTTGTAAATATGGATATAATTAACAAATTCCTTCAATTAAGCAAGACATATTTAAAAACTGATTTTTCTTTTTTCTAAAAAAAACAACAAAATTACTATAGTTTTTCATCTAGTGTACCAAGCATGGTACACTTGGGTGTACTATAAAAAATTTCACTTTCAAGAGACTTAGCTCAAAGAGTGTTCTTGTCACTTGAATTTTAATTCTCTTATCTTATTTGTATTAAAACAATCTTAAAATAAGGGGAATATATCCTAATATAAGTGTAACTCCATATCATAATATACATTATACAAGGTTTTTATATTGTTTAATTTGGTGATATGATTTTCCTTAACATCTCTTAACTTGGAATTTAACTCTTTCCCCTGCAAGTTATCTATTGAAAAGTGCAATTTTTTTCATTAAAATAAGCAAAATTATGCTTATCTCAAAACTATTTTTCATACAGTTGTTAATTTAATAAGCTCAGTTTTGCTTTACTTATCTAATTCATACAAAAGTTTTGATACTCATCATTAATAGTAATTAAGTTCTGCCATAAAAAAAATAATAGTAATTAAGTTATTGCATTAATAATATTTATGGATACGGTGTAAATAATTTAAGATAATAAGTATAAATAAGATAAGTTTAAACAAAAATGAGCATAGAATAATAAGTTTAAACAAGATAAATAAGCATATTTTTCAACTAGTGAATCGTGCACATGATACATTTAAATGTATAATAATACAAGTAGATGTATTTGCAGCGTAGAGCTTACCCGAAAACATCCCAACTCAATAGTCATCAGCCAACCGAAAACATCCGTAGCACGTGTTAACCTTGCACTAAGACACTAATCAACCATATAATTACAAACGTGAAGCACCTCACGATATCTATCAAAACACGTGTTTACTCTCTTTCTCTAAACCATACACAAAGCTCCACTACTCTATTTGTTTCCATGCAACGTAATTTGTCTATATCTCTATCACCTCTTTCATCATATTGTTATCCTCTTTCTAAATTAAAATCATATCACTATCCAAAGTTAGAGCAAAGTAAAAATAAAAAAGTTACTTGAAGTAGTGTAAGAAAAATCATATAGGAAAAAATTTGTGTTTTTGTTAGGAGAAGATGCATCACAACAACAACATTTAAGGATGAGCATGGTAATCCGGTTGAGCTGACGGACGAGCATGGTCATCCAGTTAAGCTTACTGATGAACATGGCCATTCCCATTCATCTCACCGGCGTCGCTTGTACTGATGAACATGGTAACCCCGTGGACACCCGCGGGTTGCACTCTACTGCGACTCATGGTGACGTAGGACATGACAGTACCATGGTACCCGCGGGGTAATCATGGTGCGTGGGACATGACGATCTCATGGGTAGTTCTCATGGGCGCCCGCGGGGCTGCAACTCATGGTGGTGGTGTGGGACATGACAATCTCATGGGTACCCATAGGACGCACTCTACTACGACTACGACTCATGGTGGCGTGGGACATGACAATCCATGGTATCCATGGTATGCAGTCTAATAAGACTCATGGTGGTGGCGTGGGACATGACAATCTCATGGGCACCCACGGCGTAGGCACCCATGGGATGCAGTCTACTACGACTCATACTGGCGTGGGACATGACAACCTCTCAGACACCCACGGGTGGACTCATGGTGGCGTGGGACATGACAGTTCTACGGCCACCCATGGGACGCACTCTTCTGCCACTCGTGATGCCGTGTTACCAAAAAATCCCTTGACCACTGGGATGCAATCTTCGACACTTGGGGCGCAGCTCATGGAACTCATGGAGGTCCCATGACTAGCGGGATGCCGTCCGCGACTCTCGGTGGCGGCATGCATGGTCATGATGAGCCCGGACACCGTGCCCCTGGGACGCTAGGAGATGTTTTGGGAGGCGGGCAGCACCAGCCGAGGAGAGATCAGCCAGGAGGGACTGCTGTTGGTATTGTTACTAAAGAGATTCGACGAAGTGGCACGAGCTCCGGTGAATCGGTTAGTATATATTCTTAGTAACTTCATGCAATATATCGTTTCATTTCATAATATTGCAAGAAAATTTCTCTCCATGACTCCATGTTTGATAAATAGTAATTTGTTAAAATAAAATGTGTAAACTAACTAATTTGTTGTGCTCTCCCTTAAAAAACAAACATTTTGACAATTAATATCCTTTATAATTGCATGCGTGTATAAATATTTGATACATTTAAAATACTCGTGAAGACGAATGTAATAGGATTCATACGATGATTTTTTGATGTATATGTTTATGAGTGAAACTGACAATATATATTTAGTCAAAGAAATTTAAACTTTGACCTAAAAATAAGTAACCATTTTTCTAAGGCAGATATGAGTCCGTGGCGGATTCATGATTTTCGAGATGGTGAGTCACTTTCAAATCACTTGTGAAAATACAAATTTTTTTTCCAGATCTATAACAATAATATTTCACCAAATAAATTTCAATCCAAAATAGGACATAAAAATTCATACTACCACCAAATAATACTTAAAAATTCAATCTTATAGGTCGAAAGTACTAAAAATAACATGTTATAAACAAATGGTACTATAAAACTACGGAGTATTACATTAACTTTATGATTTTTACTTAATTGATAAGCTTTGAGGGAAAATATTAAAATTGGTTGCACAAATACAAGATATAAATAGAGGCAAAAGTTATTATTTTTTATGAAAAAAAAAAAAAAGCTGAGATAACTTGAGAGATTATTGAATATAATAGGTCTCTTTAATTATAAAAGAAAGCAGGGCAAAAATCATGAAATCAATTTTTTTTCTTTTATTGGTGAGTCATGTATATCACTGTGCACATGAATAGGTCGGCCCCTAATACGAGTAATAGTCCTAGTACATCGTATCAAAATTTTTATGTACTATATTTTTATGTCAATTGTAGTATGAGCTTTTAAAATTTTCCCGGTTATCTAATAAGGCTTTTTTTTTTTTCCCCCCTTATCTTTTATAAATAAAAAATAAATAGTCATGAGCTCTAAAATTTTATATACATGATTTTTTTTTTTTTTTAAGTGTTATGGAATCTTTGAGCTTCACACACATTATATGATTGTAGTCTAAAAATTGGATATAAAATAAAATACTCAATTGTTGAATTTCATTTAATTAATCTCAATGCAATATATTCTTTGTTGAATTTGCTGTAGTCCGAGGAAGAAGGACATACACCCACGGGTGGGAGAAGGAAGAAGAAAGGATTGGGGGAGAAAATCAAGGATAAGTTAATGCCGGGTGGGAAGCACAAGGATCAGGAGGTAGACCATACCGCGACAACCACCATGGCCACAACCACCACTACCACAATCCAGCACCATGAGGATGAGCCCGCTGAGAAGAAAGGTCTAATGGACAAGATTAAGGACAAGTTGCCTGGCCACCACTAGTTAGTTATGGAGTTCGGTTTTTCAATTTCGTTATAGTTTTTGCCATTTTGTACCTTTGGATGTGACCTCATGTACAGGCCAGAGTTGAAGGCTTTTAATTTTGTTGTATGTTGAATAATCTATGTGCATCTACTAGTATGCGCAGGGTTAGTTTGTGCTTCTAGATGTTGAGATGTAATTTTCTTTTGTTCGTTTTTAGGGTTTTCGAATGTGTGAAACTTTCCATTTAAAGAGTGTTTTGAATTTCAATTGTCTAATGTGATGAATGTACCTTAAATTTCATAAGCAATGTTTTACCTTTTCTTTCTGGTGGTTATTTTCATGAAAGGATGACCTGTGCACAGTACAATGGTTGACGATTTTAGCAACTTTTGGTGGCGAATTACTTTAGTAATGCTGTTTGATATAGATGATCTATGTGTATTTTAGGTCTTTAGCTAATTTAAAGACCGAGTTAATTTACTTTGCAATCACCAAGTTACTTAAAGGTATATATGATCTAATTGTATTATATATATGACAAAATATACAAAGACCAGAAAATCTGAAGAGCACAGTTAACTCCATTGATGAACTTAAATTTAGGGAGAAGAAGGGGAGAAAAAAGGGAAGAAGAAGAGGGAGAGAACTTTTAGAAAAAGAAGTTTCTGTAATTGTTATTATGACAATTAACAACTAGAAAAGCTATTTAAAGCATTCATTACATAGGAAATAACAGAATGAAGAAGTTTGTTATAACAAACTTGCAGACGTGGCACTTGCTGAGCTGGCAGAAGTAGAATCTGTATACCCCCCCCCCCTCAAGCTAGAAGGTGATTGAGAATCAATTTGTCCTAGCTTGGAACTGAGTTCAACATGTTGAGCAGCAGACAATGGCTTAGTGAGCAAATCAGCCAACTCATCAGCACTTGAAACATAAGAAAGTTCAATAAGGCCTTCAAGCACCTTATCCCTGGTGAAATGGCAGTCAATTTTATATGTTTTTTCCTCTCATGGAAGACAGGGTTCTTCCCAATATGTATAGCAACTTGATTATCACAGTTAAGCTTTACAGGCAACAAATCAGAATTACCAAGCTCCTGCAATAATCTAACCAGCCAAGTGATCTCTGAAGCAGTAGCAGACATTAGGGGTGTTCAAAAACACCCGACCCGGTTGACCCGATCCGATGACCCGCCGACCCGGTAGATTGACAGGATGAGGAGTCTTTGCTGTCTTTGAAACATCCAAAAAACAATCCTGAAGTAACTCCTTAGTGAATTTTCTTTGAGACAAGATAATTCCCTGAGGAGTATGTGTAACTTCAATTCCTAGGAAGAAATTAAGTCTCCCCAAATCCTTGATACTGATGACATGATGTAAGTGTGTCTTAAGATCAAGGACTG